TAGCCACAAGAGAACTAAAATCTTTTAATAACCACAAAAGAAGGAATATTCTAAAGACAAAATAATATGGGAATTATCTGGAATAAAAGAAAATATTTTAAAATTGAATCATTAGTGGCTTTAAAATATGCGTAAAAAAAAAAAAAAAAAAGTGAATATCATTTCACTAATTTGTTTAACTTTTCCTCATGTAGCATTAATAATTTCTGTCAGAATTTGTAGGATGAGGAGTTATTTATGCTATGTACACTACTGTGGATAAGGACAATAGTCCATATGTAAATAGTATAAATAAAATAGCATTAATAATTCAGATTATTTTTCTGGTGCCAGTTTTATATAAACTTTGTTTCCAATATTGATCATACAATGCCAATCTTGGAGTTGCAAACAAAAACAACAAAAATTATAATCTAAACAATACTAAAAATGAATAATAAACAATGCTTCAATTAAGAAATTTTAATATTTACACCAATACTTGTGTTTTATATAAACAAAGATGATGATGTTGGCATATAAGGTATTTAGGTAAAATAAAGAATAAAGGCTATATGGTAAGATTTTAATTACTATAATTATTTAGCCTTCATAGCCTAATCTGTAATGCCTCTGGAAAAGCAGGCTTCTAAAGATAAAGATGTAGGCTTGAGGTTTATTTTTTTTTATTTTTGATCCATACTTCTTATTAATGATCATGAAATGATTTTAATTACTATAACTAGTTAGTCTTTATAGCTTAATCTGTAAGACAGCTACCTCTGGAAAACAGGCTCCCATAGACAGAAGATATAAGTTTCATGTTTATTTTATATTAGTTTTAATTTTTGATCCATACTACTTATCAATAACTGTGAAATGACGATCTGGGAATTGCAATGCAAAGTAACTAAAATTTAGATAAAAGAAATACTCAGTCAGTTATGTGCCATGCGTGATACACACTTAGGCGATCATGTATCTTTCAATACATGACTAACGAGGCAGTTTTTTTTCCCACAGTAGGTTGCCATTTCTTTCTGTGGTAGACCTGTTGCCATCCAAGGCTATAGAACCCGGTCTGTCCTGCTATTTACCCATAGCTGGTGGGAGAAGAAGAGGATTCATACCTTTACCAAGGGTAGTAGCATGTAAGTGAATGTAATGGATTTGACTGGAATTTGAACTCAGCCCTCTGATTCCTCAATCTGAGCTGCTATTCATTACTCCACCATGCCTCCCCAAAAGAAATACTAGTCAAACAAATAATAATAATTAACAAATGAAATATTACTATTTGTGTATGTAAGAAAAGACATTTGGAGAAATAAGAAATAATGTTAAATTGGCTAGTTCTGAATGATTTGTCAGTTGGCCTTTGTGTCTTAATAAGTAAAGCAACTAAGTTTCTGAGGATAGAGATTTGTGTTTGGCTTAGAGCTTATATTTACACTACTCAGAGGTTTTAGAATGATGCCATAGAAATAAAGATGAAGGAAATACAAGTCAGAGAACTGGAAAACTTAGTCATTATTTCTTACAAGTTATCTTCATTAAAATTTCACAAAGTATATAATAATAATCAAGTTTTTGTCTGCAGGTTTCTTACCACAACAAAGCAAAAAATGACACATTGTAGTGAGATTTTTATTAGCACAATATTGTTAAAAAGCCTTAACTTGAATAAAGCAATTTCCATCTCATTTTGTAATTCACAGTGTAGAGGTCAGTGTGTCTGCACTTGTTTTAATCATCTATACCAGTGCTTCTTAGACTTTTTCATTCATGACCCCATTTTATAACATGAGATTTTTCATGACCCCAGGTCTACATTGAAAATACATATGTTGTCATTGCATAAAGTTGCAATTCTGCCACTGTACGCTCATTTTATTACCACAGCGCATGCGTGGCGCATCACCTTAAATAATGTGCGTTTATGAAATAACATAGAAATTGAAATTCAAGTGTTTGAATTTAATTTTCGCGACCCCAGCATTTCGCTTTGCGACTCATAGTTTAATAAGCGCTGATCTATATTGTATTGATCAAATTTCTCAAGGGAGATAACTCTAAGTATATCAAACGCTATTTATTGAGTAGTTCCCCTTATTATGTGTATATGATCATAACAGAAATGATCATAATTTCGATTTAAAAAATGTTACTTTAATTAAGAAAAAGCAATTTACTAAAACGAAAGTATATAGGAAGTGCTTTAATCGCGAGATTGTCCACAGTAAATTTGTGTTTAAGTTCTTACAATATTTCACTTTTCTTGGCAGATCTTCTATTATGGCAATAAATGGGATACTTAATAAAAAAGTGATAAAAAGAAACTAAATGAAAGTGGCTAGACAATATGTACAAACACATTAAAAAAAAATTAAATTTAAAAGTTTAAAATGTTAGTGTCCCCCCTTCCATTCATGTACATCAACACAAACATCCCAGTGGTCCAATGAAGTCTAAAAGGACGAACTGGATCACATGAAGTTTTTTTTTCCACTCATTAATTACTCCCAGTATGATTTACAATATAAATTCAGTAAATAAAAAATAACTTGGTTTAACTGCTGCCATTGAGTGTTATATTAAGTGTACAAATCTATCATTTACTTCGAACTCCTTGCTAGTCTTTTTAAACAGGAGTAGAGGTTTTTCCCTTGTTTCTGGTTCCTTAAAGTCTTTTCAGTCTCTTTCACTCCCAGTAGCCCCTTGCGTCTTAGTGGCATTATCACCTTCCTTGGGAGGTGAATTCATGAAAATCAAACATTAAATTCTAACTGAATCTTTTGATGTTTACTCTAATTTCCTTAGGGAAGACGTGAATCCATTTTATATTGCACTCTCTTTCATAGTCAGATAATTTGATAAAATATCTTGACACTTGTATGCCAGGGTTGCTAATGATTATGATAAAGAATACCTTTTTCTCCATAAATTCATCACTGAACTGAAGTATTCATTTACATAATGTTGCTTAATATTTTGGTTTTATTCTAGGAATATTTAAAAACAAGTAAAAAAAAAAATGATTAAAGACAAACTCATTTAAATATTTGTCATATCCAAAATGTTATTTATTTAGAGATTCTTGATAAAATCCAAAGAAGAATCTGCAATGTTATTGGTCCTGACATGGCATCTTGGCATCAGTGACTTTCCCACCACCATAATATAGCTTCCCCTCTGCCTTTTCTATAAATACTTTCATGGTAATTGTTCTGATGAACTTTCTTCTATGGTACCTTGATTTTATGAATTTATGTGCAGTACTAGATTGGCAGCAAGGTCTCATCTTTTACAGTCAAAATGGCTAGATTTAACTGTAAGTTCTGTGCTAACAGTTTCTTCTCTCAAAGGCATGGCATGTGGAATTAGAACAATCTACCCCTGTGGACTAAATAAAGGGTTTGGTTCGAAATTCCAACATATATCACTTGAAGAAGGTCTGAGTGTACAATATCCGAAACATCATGAATATGGCAATAAAGATTAGGACAATAGTTTGAATGATGTAAATAATATAAACATAACTTATTATTCTGAATTTATCTTTTGGTGAAACAAATTCAGTCATTTCTGTGAAATCCTGTTATATATTATTGACTTTTGCATTTCTCTGTAATATCATTTACTAGCATAATACCCAGAAAAAATGATTATTTATGTATTCATTAACACTTCTTCCTTGTGATCCTTTCATGAGGAACAAGTGTTATTATATAAGTCTTTCATGCAGAAATCTACACATGAATCATCACAACCACAGCAGCAGTGGCCAGACTGGAAAGGATATGGAAAAGCAACATCAGCTTCCAGACAAAGTTCAAGCTCTACGAATCACTGGTCATATCCATCCACCTCTGTTTGAGACATGAGAACAAATGCTTATAAATAGCTCTTTTGCATTTCCTACTGTGAGCACAAAATCAATGACTATGTACAGTGCAATGTCAAAAATTTAATGAGCCAACAGGAATCTATCTTCACCACTATTAAGCATTGAAAGATGTCATGGTTTGGCCATGTCACACAGTATAACAGCCCCTGCACAATCATCATGCAAAGTACTGCTGAAGGCAGACACAAGTGGTGATGGCAATTCAAGTTTTAGTCAGACAACATCAAAGAGTGGATGGACATGACAATGCTAAACCACCTGAGAGCCTCTGCCAACAGATCATCCTGGAGGAGATTGTCTATTTCTTCTGTCCTTAGGTCCCCCTCACAAATGATTGAAATAGTTAAGGAACTGATGATGATAGCACTTCTGCCTCAGATCAGAATATACATGTATTCTACTAAGGGTTAAAATGTCCCTCCCTAGCAGAGTTGCAAGATTTGTCTACAGATAGTCAATTGGGCAATATTTGAAATCACAGCACTATTAAATTTTAAACTGACTTCCTTCCCATTTCATAGTGCAATTTATTGTAAAACTAGCCCCAGAAGTTGCAAGTAGTGAAACTGAAATTTTACTAGGAACTGGTTTTTAAAAGTAGTCCAAATCTGGCAGGTTTGTTCCTTGGCCTTCTGTCAAGGATCATTATAGTATCTATGCAAACTGCTTAGTGTAGTATCAGTGCAGTATCTACTTAACTTAGTATTTGCATGTTAATTTCACCATGCTGTTCAAGCAGCAGAACACTGTCATAATGGCTATGTCATTTACTGGCTTACCTCTGAGTTGAATGTTCAAAATCAGGACAGGAGTCACTTGTTAATTTTGTACTTATGTTTGCTTTAGGGTGACAAATTATGGAGAAAAAAAACAAAGAGACATACAGAAAAGATTCGTTATAAAAAATAAAGCAAAAATGAGAAAAAAATATAAGACAATTGTGGAAAACCTCCTGAAAAATGGGCTGAACAATAAGAAAAAGGTTTGTTTACAAAACTCTGGAGTTAAAATGCAGAATATAACATTAGTCAGCTAAGTGACAAATTTTATATGAATTTATATATATATATATATATATATATATATACATGCTTATGAGTTAAATTTTAAAGGCTTACAGCCATATCATGTTGAAACACTGGTTCGCATACAATCACTTAAGCAATGTTGAGCCTGATCAGTACTTAGATGGGTGACTGCTTGGGAATACCGGGTGCTGTAAGCTCAGATGTATGATTGGTGGAATAGATAATAGTTTGGAAATTTTAATCAGAGAGCCAAGTACTAATTCCTGTTGGGTTCATTATATTCACATATGTGCAAATACCTTTGGGAAAGGAATGAATCTACCTCTTCAAGCCATGGGTTAATTAGTAAAAATGGTATCACTAAACCATTACTAACTCCTCCATAAAAAAACTAAAAACAAATTCTTACAATCTCAAAATAATTCCAAGCTTTAAGTAACCTGTAAAGGGTTGATAAGCCATAAAAAAATGAATCAATCAATCTGGCTACTGACAATATCCATCTTCCTAAATTTAAAGAAATATCTATAGTGAATCATTAACAATGCATTTATATACTTCATATAACAGCCTTATTCTGTCAGTAATATTTCTATTCATTCCTGACCATTGGCAATCCCTTTCTTCTTGTTTTTCATTGCATTTCTATAGTAAATCCATTAACTTTATACATATTTAGCAGTCCCTTAACTTTATACATATAGCAGTCAATTTGTCAGTAATGATTTTCAATAATTCCGGACCACTGATATTTCCTGAGATTAAAAACAAATTTTTAAAGCAAACAAAATTTACAATTCTGTTTTCTCTCTTCAAAATAAAAAAAAAATTCTCTCACTCTTCTGTTTCTTTCAAGTATATGATAATCAGGAGCATTCACAGAATCTAGATGAGTGGCAGCAACAAAAAGTTAAAAATAATATAGAAACCAAATTTTCTAAAACGTTACAATGAAAACAAAACTATTATTGTCAAACCCACTTGGAGTTATAGTGAACTTAATATCTAGGTTTTACACCTAAACCAAGAATCATTAATAGCAGGCTATTAAAAATTCTTCCATTTGGGGCACTAAAATTTACTTTTAATAATTTATATAAGTTCTCAAGCAGAATATAAGTAAGTAAATTGTTGATTTTGTTTTTAATTAGTTACACTCAATATATCCTTCTGCATACTAGATTTTGGTATGTTTACTTTCTAGTATTGCTTTTATTAGTGGACACATGGTTGTGTGGTTGGAATATTAGCATTCTGACCCTGAGACTTGGATTCAAATATCACCATCATTAATTTGTCAAGGAGATGACTTCTCGGTGATATTGGCCTGTGGATATGATCTTAACATGTGGCACTTGGTGGGGGTATATGATCTTAACATGTGGCACTTGGTGGGGGTATATGATCTTAACATGTGGCACTTGGTGGGGGTATATGATCTTAACATGTGGCACTTGGTGGGGGTATATGATCTTAACATATGACATTGTGTTGGGGTATATGATCTTAACATATGACATTGTGTTGGGGTATATGATCTTAACATGTGATATTGTGTGTGTGGGAGGATATGATTTTAACATGTGGCATGTGTGTAGGGGGTATGGCTGCAAATGTGGTATTTATGGGGGCATAGTCTTGACATGTGGCATTGTGGAGTATGATCTTAACATATGACATTGTCACGGGGATATATGGTCTTAACATGTGGCATTGTCAAGGATATATGATCTTAACATGTGGCATTGTTGGGAACTATCTGAAAACCTTGTTAGAGGCTAATCCAAGCCTAGTGAATAAAATTGGGTAGACAAAACTTTTTAAATGCTATTAATGGTTGTGCTAGCATGAAGTCACAAGTCATTGTGACTGAGGGTTTGAGCATACTGGCTTTTTTCATCTATTTATCATGCCAGATTATACACTCTTTCCCAGAAACTGTAACTAAGGTCTGCTCAACATAGTTGCAGTGTAAAGTACAGTTTGGCTAAGTGGATGTTGAAACAGATCATTACTATTGTTTAACAAGTTCACTCTATTCTTGTGGCCATGTGACAGATAAAAATTATCTTGCGGGGATTTTACAGTACAGTAATAGTTAGTGAACCAGCCAAGCTGATCATTAACATAATCGATGGTGACTTTATCTCATATCCAAAAATTTAATTTTTTCTTTGCTGATCACTTCCTTTATGAAGATGGTGTTGATGACAACATTCACCGACACCATGCAGGTTCAGGACTAGAAACTTCCAGTTTCATCAAAACCTATTCTTCTTATCTATTCCCTATTGCTGTTTGGCTTTGCAAGAGTTGGTTGAAGGTGAAAGAAAATCAGTAGAAGAAAGTGTGAATGGCATGAATTTGTTTAAGGTGGACCTCAATTTGCCAGGAAGTGACCCACACACTTGATTTCATGACCTTCCTTTGCTGTACATATGGAAGGAGACATACATTATGAAACAGTAACAGGCTGCTGCCGACTCTTATAATTTTGAGTGGAGCTTTCTGTAGCATGTCCATCATGCATAGCTCTCCTCATTCCCTGGTTCAACCATTGAAATCTGTTGTAATCATCATCTGCTTGTTCTACCATTGGGGTTCATTGGAGTTTGTCACACTTAGTCTGGGTCCACGTCTTCGATCTTGCTGCCAAAGGTGGCCCTAACAGAAGTTTAGAACTCCTGATGGCATTGGACCACGCAAACCCCTCCACCATGACAATGAGTGACCATCAGAGGATCCCACTTCTGACAGCACTAGCGTAGTACCATGAGTCCAATCCTCACTAGGAATTTCCACTTGTGTTATACTAAACTATGCTTTAATGAATACCTATCATTTTGATAGAGTTAAACTTAGTTGAAGTTATTTAATTATAGTTTTCAAAATGTCAAGTGTTACCGAGAATAATATTGTATTTTGTCTCAACAAAAGTACAAAGTCTTTCTCTATTAGAAGAAAATAAAGAGAGGACAAAAGAAAATAACCTAAAAATTTGAAGATTATTTTTTTTTCTTTTACTGAATGAATACAAAGTTCTGATGCAAAGTTTCATATTTTTCAAATATGCAGGTTATTTAAAGCCATAAAATATTTTTAGATTGTAAGAATTTTTTTTTTTTTTTGGTAATAGTGGTTTAGTGATACAAATCTTATTAATTAACCTGTAGTTGGTGGGGATAAGAGGTGGATTCACACCTAATCAGAATTTGACAAAGAAATTATAATGTGGATATAATGTGGGTGATCAATTCTCTAATGCAATCAATATATAAACAAATCCCTCACTTTGTGTCTACAGTAGTTTCTATACATCTATATTCACAAGAAAATGTAAATAAATCTAAAAGATATGCCTGTGTAGCTAATCATTATTTGTTTTCTACGGCTTATCAACCCATTGCTGGTTATTTAAAGCCAGAAAATATTTTTAGATTATAAGAATTTTTTTTTCAGTAATGGTTTAGTGATACAAATCTTACTAATTAACCCATAGCCAGGGAAAAATATGGATTTCGCAATGGTATTTTACTTTCCTCTTTGAGAATTTAAGCACATTACTAGATTGACAGCTAGGTCTCATCATTTTACTGTTGAAATAGCTATTATATGTAACTAAGTTCTATTCTAATAGTTTCTTCTTTCCCATTTCTTGCCAGTAGAACTCTCTCTTTCTTACATTCCTGTCAGCTATGATTTTTTTTTTTTAGTAATAATGGTTGAGTGATACAAGTTTTACTAATTAACCCATAACTGGTGGGAGTAGAAGTGGATTCATACCTTTCCCAAGTAAGTGAATATAACAAATTTAACAGGAATTGGAACTCGGTTCTCAGATTAACAATTCCAAACCATAATCCATTATACCACCCATACATCCAAACTTACAGTACTTGATAATCTCAAGCAGTCACCCATCTAGGTACTGACCAGGCTCAACACTGCTTAACCAGTGATTACTAGTACTAGAACCCATGTTTCAATGTGATGTGGCTGTAAGCACTTAAGTGAAGGTTGTCCTGAATGGTTGCTCTTCTAGATCTTTCAATATAAATGAAAGTGTCTCCCATTCCCACTCTTTGGGCCTACTCTGTTCCTACTTTTAATTAATGACTTTCCCAATGTCATCAATTCTCAACTTGGTATCTATGCTGATGACATAACTATTTATTCCTATCTTAATGGTAAGTCTCATAGAGTCGATAAATTCAAATGCTGATCTCAAGAGTTAACTGGGGTAAGAAATGACTTCTTAATTTTAACACCTCCAAAGCTAAAATGCTCTCTTCTAATCATCTTAGAAAACCATTTCAGCACTTCGATCACCATGGCTGATGCTAATCTCCAGGAGTGTAACTCGTTGCTTCTTCTTGGGCTAACTTCTTTTTTTTTTTTCTTTTTTTTAATCATTTCACCACAAGAAGGCAAAAAAAGCCACAAGGATGCAAGGGGTTACTGAATGCTAGAGAATATGAGAAAAACTATTATTAAGTAGAGAGGACAATAAAAGAATAAGAATTAGGAAGACAGAAGATAACAATTGACATTGAATTTAAATTTTGGAAGATCAAAATTGACTGGGAAGCAAGAAACCAAATCCATTTCAGCACTTCCAAACAAAAAGTGTGATAGAAGAAACTTATCATAGAACTTATGGTTACATCTAGCCATTTTATCTCTAAAATGATGAGACCTTACCACCATTCCAGTAGTACACTTAAATTCATAAAATCTAGGAACCATAGCAGAAAGTTCATCAGAACAATTACCATGAAGGTATATATAGAAAAGGCAGAGGGAAGTTATGTTATAGTGGTGGAAAATCTCTAAATATGTAGCAGCAATATTCAAAGCAAGAATGAATGGTAAACATATAAATATGTAAGATAGATTCTGGCTAGAAAAATGGTCTATCACAACATAGTGAACCAACTTTCTTAGCTGCAGACTTAGAAATTGATTCAATATACACTTTCCATTTCATGTCAGCTGAAAACTTTAGTCCAAGAAGGTGCAATGAGCCACTCACATTGGAGCTTAGCATCAATCATACAGATGAAAGGTAAAAAGGGGTTCTCTTAGATGATTAAAAGAGAACAATTTCATTTTTGAAGAGTTAAAATTAACAAGACACTCTTTTTTCCACTGATATGTATTTGAACAATTATGAGTCATTTGCTAATTCTGCTGCT